CCGAAAGGAGTTTATTTTAGCAACGGTAATGAACCAAAGAGACGCATCGACTATGTGTTGGTCTATGAAACAAAACAGAATGATGATTCGGATAGCAGCAAAGAAAGAAGTCTGCAAAGTCTACGGAAAACGTTCGAAGATAACTTGAGAAAGGAAAAGCTTCTAATCGAATACGATGAGTTATCTTTGCCACAGGTACGAGTTCGGTGCACTGCTTGACCAGTTTAGCTGAGGCATTTAAAGAAATTTTCACTCCCTCTAAATTGAATATCTTACAAGATGCGATCCAACCCAATATTTTCTGAGGAACTTTTTGACATAAATAGCTGCAATTTCAATTTTTGAAACTAATCTTTTTGTATAAATATAATTAAGAAGGGATTTCAAGCCATCCAGGCTCAAATTCCACCGTCTTTATTAGTATTCAAGCATATAAATTCACAAATCAGTTAACACATCACTGAACAGACCTCAACGATGCCACCCATATTTGTCTCTTACCAAGTAATGGTACTACTTTTGTTTATCCAAGTTCACTTTTGGTAAAAGGCTGGTTGGGAAACATTCAGTTAAAATACCGACAATTCTATATATTCCGTTTTTAAATTAAAGTTTTTATGTTCACAATTAATACATGTTTTAATTAAGAGTATCAAACAATGCTTTTAAAAAAGGATCAAAGACTCTTGGTATTCGCATTAAGACTAGCTACGTGGAAAAAAAAATATCATTAGATTAAGGAAATGGCTGATTTTTATCTTTTAGAATTTCATATTGGACGTTTCGTCGAGCAATACAGTCGAGTAGCAAACTTTTAAAATTACATAGGCAGGAATATGTCCAACTCCCATATGATTAAACTAAAGCTGAGGTCGTTGATCTAAAGTCGGCAATGACGATCAATCTACCAACATACATGTAGGATGTCATTTCTGCCGCGTTTTATCGTCTACATAATATTAGACGGATTAAGAAGTATTTATCTCGCGATTCGTTATTAACTCTTATTCATGCTTTTATCACTAGCCGTTTAGACTATTGTAATGGACTTTTGTATGGCCTGCCTAAGTCGCAAATAGTTAAATTGCAACGTGTTGAGAATGCTGCGTCTAGACTTGTACTGAACTTAAGAAAGTACTCGCACACCCGCGCTTTTTGAACATCATTGGTTACCGGTACAACATCATGTTCATTTTAAGATCTTAATTTTAACATTTAAAGCTATTCATGGATTGGGGCCCAAGTATATCATAGAATTAATTAACATTATGCCTAGATCTATGTGTAATCTTAGACCAAATCAAAGTTTATTGTGACACCCTCCTAAAGGGAAAATACTTGTTACTTTAGGTGACAGATCTTTCTCTGCTGTTGCTCCATATTATTTTATGGAATAGTTTGCCGGCTGAATCACGTGATATTCAGTCATTAGCTATTTTTAAATGTAAGCTGAAAACTTACTTATTTCGTGTAGATACTAAAGCGCATCCTGCTTGATATTCACTCTTATTAGTATTACTAATTCAGTTGTTATCATTATTATAAATATTCTATTTTATTAATATACATGTAATTAGTTTTACAAATTTGAATTTTATTGTAGTATTTTAATTTGTAAAGCGCTGTTGATCACTGAATGTAAATAGCGCTCTAGAAGTTGTCAAATTATTACTACTACTATTATTATTATTATTATTATTACTATTATTATAGTGTATGCAAAATCTTCATTACAAACATGTATGAGACTCATATGTTTGAATGGCATTCGTGCAAAGGATGTTTAAGCCGAGCCTCATCATGGTAAAAGTTTTATTCTTTTTTTTCTGTGCTCAGGATCCCAAAACCAAACGACATTTCGTCCTCATTCATGCCCCCTGGGAAGTGCTGGCCAAAAAGGCGGAAGCAATGCGTCTGAAAGTCCCATTCCAAGAAAACGACATCTTGTTTAAGTCTTGGATGGAGGAGAGACTCGGAAGTGATAGAATGGATTCATTAAGGAAGAGAAATCCTCTAATTGTACATGATTCCACCATTGAAGACAAAGGAAACTTTTTCATGGCTAACTTCAGACGAGAAAATGTAACCAAGTTCGTCAACCATCAAAACAAGGAGACGTTTTTTGATAACGTCGACCGCGTCTACATCGTGCAGCAAATTTGTGGCGGCGCCCGCTTTGCGGAGGGCCCTCACGGTGTTGGGCTGAAAAAGTTGATCTACGAAGGTGCATACATAGCAGGATACCCACTTCACGATGGTCCCGTTCGTCTTGAGCCTGGCGAAGAGCCCTCGAATGACCGACAACGGCTCAAGCGTGACTGGGCCAGATTTGGAAGAATGGCCAAATTCCAGCCATACGGAGCAATCAAGGATTACTTTGGCAGTGAGATTGCCTTGTACTTTGCCTGGCTTGGATTTTACACGGCGTGGTTGGTACCTCTTGCTATTATCGGTCTTGCTGTGTTCCTGTATGGAATCGGTTCGGCTGGTAGTCACGCCCCAGTCAAAGATGTCTGCGACGACAAAAACAAGGATGTGTGGTATATGTGTCCACTGTGTGACAGACAGTGTAGCTACTGGGACCTAGCTTCCACCACGTGCATTTACGCTTACGTCACCCACTTCTTCGACAACGATTGGACAGTTGGTCTTGCTTTAATTGCGTCAATTTGGGCGACTTTGTACCTTGAGTTTTGGAAACGTCGTCAAGCCTCCCTTGCTCAGGAATGGCACACTGATGATTTCGAAGAGGAAGAAGAGCCCCTTCGCCCAGAGTACTCAGCTACAGTGACGACCCTAAAGAAGAATGAAGTTACCGGTAAGATGGAACCGTACGTCCCCAAAAAAACACTGTACTCTCGCTACGGTGGAGTCTTTAGCATCATAATCTTTTTTATCTTGCTTGTCATCGCCGCTGTCGTGGGTGTTGTCGTGTACCGAGCAGCAGTTTTCGCCTCCTTGAGCGGGAACGAAGACGAAACAGTCCAAACACGTGCTAGGATCATCACCTCCTTAACAGCAGCTCTACTCAATCTTCTTGCCATCAACCTGCTAAAGTTCGTCTACAGCAAACTGGCCGTCTGGTTGACGGACTGGGAAAATCCACCGACTCGCACCGACTACGAGGACAGCTTCACTTGGAAAATGTACCTGTTCCAGTTTGTAAATACGTACGCGTCCATTTTCTACATTGCTTTCTTCAAGTCTGGGCTCGTGGTAGGAACTCCAAGCAGATACAAGCGGATTGCGGGTGAATTCCGATTGGATGGCTGCAGCGAGCAAGGGTGCTTTTTGGAGCTTTGCGTTCAGCTTCTTATTATCATGGTGGGACAGCAGATCATCGGAAATATTACGGAAGTTGCAATCCCGTAAGTAACATTAAGGGTTACAAAATGAGGTTCTAATTTACTAAAACTTTAAGAAA